AAACCGATAAATTGATAAAGCTTGACTTGACCTATTGTTTTTATGGTTTAGTTTGCCAAAATTGTCATTCGTCAGACCCGCCACTTACATTTCCAAAGTGGCGAAAGGTTTTGTGAAAATCAATACATGTACCAGTACATGTACATATTATTTTTCTTTGTCTCAAAAGGTAAGTTTAGTATACTGTGGAAGTGAAAAGACCTAATTCTTTAATAGCATTAAATAATTTCACGGATACATACCCGACCCGATCGATTAAACAGCATGATGAAATTATTTTGGATATATTGTATAAAAAATGCCAGTTTAGAGTACTTTCTCTATGCATACCGATACACAATTACGTATCTTTATTGGAGCTACAAATTTTCTCTCCTTCAGAATACATGTACATGTATATGGGAAAAAAGGGGACAAACCGGCAAATCAGAAATCATTAGAAAACCCGATATTTGTGTCTTTGAACACAACAGTAGTGATTGACTAAAAAAGTAAATCAAAAATTTAATCATGCAATCCGAACAAAGTTAATTTCAATAATAACGCAAAATTTTATTAGGGTAGCAATTTTCTATGCTAAGTAAAAAAAGTTACCCAGTTTATTTTATCGGATGTTCTTTTTCCAGCACTCGTCCCATATCGATATTGACGATGCTGGCAATAATGATACTTGACGATTTCGTCACGACCATTTTGAAAATGTCTGTGGCGAATGATGAAACCTGCGAAACCTGACGAAACCTATGACGAAACCTTCTGACCAATAAAATACTAGTTGATGCCGAACATTTTTGTAAATGAACGAATGCGCAAAATGCCTACGTACATGTATTTAAATATCAATAATACAAAAAAAATACCGTATTTTACCGGTTAAGTACTCCTCCCCCAATGTAATGTAAAGCACTCTTCCCACTTTTTGAGAGCAGTTTTTTATAAAATATTCTTATTCTAATACAGCATATTGATTAATACATGTACTAAATTACATATGTACCCCACTTTCGCAGAAAAATGTAAAGTATTCGAGTACTTTAAACCGTACTGCTAAATCAACAAGTAAGAGATAACTTATTAAACTTATCGTTATGCATCATATCAATAACCTAAAATACAGTCAGCACGGAAAGTAATGGCGGACGTGTTTTTTGATTATATCTTGATTAGGAAATTTCAAAAGTCGTAAAAATTTGTAGATAAATACTTTAGGATAGTAGAACAAGATTTATTAATTATCATAAAGAACATTAGCATAATAATAATTTGCGAAATTTTGTGTGATGGAATAAAAAATTATTTAAAAATATTTTTAATAAGAAATTTTGAAAAGAATTTTATGAAAATATATTTGTAATATAATGAATATACAGACAAACCTCCCTAAATGCACGCCCCCCCCCTGGGACCATAGTAAAGCGTGCACTTAGAGAGGGTGTGCATTTATAGAGGGCAAAATATATAGATCTCTTATGAGCTGGGACCCAACCATGCTGTGCATTTAGAGAGGGTGTGCACTTATAGAGGGTGCATTTAGGGAGGTTTGTCTGTAAATGACATTTATTAAATAAAAATGAGCTAAAAAATTTTTTTAAAATTATAAATAATATTTATATCACAAAATATATTTTCATAAAATTCTTTTCAAAATCTCTTATTAAAAATATTTTTAAATAATCTTTTATTCCATCACACAAAATTTCGCAAATTATTATTATGTTAATGTGCTTATGATAATTAATAAATCTTGTTCCTAATATCCTAAAGTAGTTATCTACAAATTTTCACGACTTTTGAAAATGTGCTAATTAAGATATAGGCAAAAAAACACGTCCGCCATTACTTTCCGTGCTGACTGTATTAGACTGTGGACAAGAATTGCATATAGATTTAAATTAAAAAACAAATGCCTAAATTACAGTTGTATTTTACATATTCATACATTCGTCTTATCAACATATACATGTCATGTATCTAGAAAAACATTCATAATGAGCTTAGTAAAAATGGATGTTTATTATTGTGAATTCGATTCTTCAACGCATTTTTCTAACCATAATTGAATTCTCTCCTTTAATTCTCTCTTCGAAATCAATTCTTCCAATCGCTTTTTATCTTTTTCAATCTCTGCATCAGCTTTTGCACTCATTTTTTCCATTCTCTTCTTCATATTCTCAATTTTCTCTAAATTATTGAAACGCGCTAAAGCAGACTTCAGAACTTCAACCGTAATTATGTCTGCTTTAAAATAGCAAACTAATTCCCAGATGCTATGCAAATTATTCGAAATTAAATACTCTTCCCATTTGAGATCGTCTTTGTCGCACAACCACGCAAGAAGCACATCAAGGTCATCCGAAGAATATGGAAGAATGAGTGATATCTGAATTGGAATGTCACCGGACATTTTCTTATAATTTTCGATAGATTGTATTATTTGGCGGTAAAATTCACATTCGGATGATAAAAAGATATCGTCAACATAGTCTACACTGGCAATCTTAGAATCCGCTAAGATCTCGATGTTGGTTTCTCTCAAGACGCTAAGCACGAATTTTGAATCATGATCTATAATATCAGCAGTCACGTAACCAATCGTGCTTCGAACACCGTTTATTGTTTCGCAGACGACACGAATGAATTTACCATCAATATATTCCGAAATAGAAGTGTTTTTTACAATATACGAATTCTGATAGAAGTGATGATAAATAATGGAAGACATTTTAAGCGTAATTTCTTTTATGGTGAATTGCAAGTATATTTAGAAAACTTTATTACTCTCTACTTTTTTTTGACAAAGACCTTATTGACTCCATTTTTATACTTTTCTCTTTTTCTCAAGACACTTGTTTTATTTCTCAAATCCAAACTAGGTTTCCGATGTTCTTAACTCATCAATTTTCAGCAGCATTGTCGAGTTCTAAACTTATCAAAAAAACATTTGTATTATACAATAGGAGTGCATTTGATGTGATGCTCAACGTATTGTTATATTATCTATACCAGTAATATTTCGTTTGTATAGTACATGTACAAAAATTTTTATGATAAATGTATAAAGTTGATTAGCACATGACTTCTAATTCAAGCACGTGATGTTTATGATTTTCTATCTCAAAATTTTAGCATTTACGGCTTTCCTGGATTAATTCAAATCTCAAAATTGTCAATAGAAATCTGATTCTTGCGCCCCTGCTTATCGAATCTCCTACAGAAATTCAGAACTTTTAGAAAACAGGCAAGCAGATTTCCACAATTTTTTCTTTGCTAAATGGGCGGAAACCTGTTGATTTAGTGTTAGCGTTACGGTTAGATCAATTTTATGTAAAATTGCTACATGTACCCTTAACGTTAATGATTAACTGTGTTACAATTATCAAATTCTGCCCAGAGATACTAACGCTAATACGTTTAGGAAAGATTCATAGAAGTTTTTTTATCCGTCTATTTTAAAAAGAGGCTAACTATATGGTAAAAATTGTCCCGCATTTAGCTATTCTTATCATTTATAATAAATGTTTATGTAAATCAAGAAAGGCTTATCATTCATCGGATTAAATTTTGCATTTACCTTCTAGTTAAGAAGTTTATCGAATTCATACGAGTCACAACCCCTCGTAAATCACCAAATTTGTGTAGGTCTGACTGTGATTGATAACAAAATTGGCGAATTTCCGGAATTAAATTGAAAAAATCCTGTAAAAAGCGGTTTATAGTGCCCCCCAATGTAAATACCCCTTTATGGTTTTGCAGGTGATTTGTATTGTATCTGGGTATTTTAATGGAACATTATAATATAAAGTGTAAAATAGTAAAGTAGAAAAATACCCCCCAACCGGTTTCATAAATTACCATTATAGTTTGATTATTAACTTATTGCATGAGCAAATGCATTGTGTAAAAGTACCCCTCATGTATATTATCCTAAAAAAAACATAGGAAACTATAAACTGCATGCTTCAACGATGAGATAAAAGCATCAACACGTTTGACATACACATATGTCGTTGATAACCAACCTATGAAATTCGAGTTGAAAATGTGTTTGGATGACGTATGCATAAAGCTTTATTCCAAGTGTTGTTAGCGTTAGTTAGTATTTCAATATGCATCTAGTTGCTTTAAAATTTATAGATATATATATATATATACAATTACTGCTCCAACCGAGTCGGGTCCGATCCGTGACACGGAACGCACATTTCGGGCGGCCTAAAAAACGTTATTTCTCGTTCAATATTAATTGGAGTTAAACGAAAATTTGTGGGTATATACACAATTACATTCTGAACAACTCTACTTAGACACAAAATACAAGTGTCTTAGTAAAAATAAAAGTTATTAACGAAAAACTATTTTACGATTTTCGGATCCGAATCCGACCCGACCCGAAATTATCGGTTCGGGTTGACCTCAAACTCGATCCGACCCGAACAGAACTTTAGATACAATCCGGTATACGTAATTATATCGATCGAGATTATCCAAAAAACTAGTTTTCAGATTTATAATTGCATAAAATTCACATTTCGTCTTATTAATTAATTAATTAACTAATACATATAAGCACAGGCCCAAACTTTTAACACGTACAATTAGGTTTTGCTTACGTGGAATCCCGTGTCATTTTTAACAAAAAAAAATCGTCATCTAATCTTCTTTTGAACAAGTTGATGCATGTCTTAAACCCCAAACATGGTAAAATGAAGATGTTATATGTTGAGTAACGTAGAACATGGCGTTAGCATTGTAATCTACAAAAAGAAAATTCTACGAAGAAAAACAATCGTAGATTTGCATTTGATTGTGCTTCCATTTCGAGAAAAAATTCCGTGCATTTATAAGATAAACGTTAATTATAATTGGTTTTTGTCCAGGACTCTTTATAAGGAAAAGTCATTAGAAATCGCATTACAATCAGGGCTCTTTATGCAGATATATCGGGAAACAGATATAAAGGTCGTTAAATTGTAAACTTCGTTAAAAGCCGAGATCACTATATGAAAACATCATTATCATTATTATTCTATGCACTTGTCCCAGTTGTATGAGATAATGCACAAAGATTTGAAGTAAATCGCTTTTTTCGTGGGTCCCACAATGATGTCATTACACAACAGATTGCAGATTGCATTTTACTGGCGCGGGATGAACAATGGATTATGTAAAACGGATTGGATTGGGACCAAAAAGTTTTTAAATATATGGTTGAATTATTCTTACTATATATCCTTCTGTCATAATGAAGTGCATTGCTTAAAAAAGTCGCAACCTAAAGATTTGCGTGGAATTTTTTTGAATATAAATTTGTCATTTTAGAGATTTCTTTTTCTCTTCATCCCCTAATGAATCATGAACTCATTAATTCAATTACATAAATCATTCTCTTGAAGCAACTATCATTAAATATGATTTATCTTCTATATTCTCGATGAATATTCTTTCTCTTCACGATTTAAAAATGATAAATTACAAAATTAATTACGAAACTTTACTTCGTCAAAATTCTAGGCGAGATAAAACCATTAATTTCTTAATTTGGAATGTAGCACACTTTATTCACAACTATTCTTTTTGTATATAAATAAATATACCACCACTACTACTATTATTATATGTGAAAAATACCACTACTACTACTATTATTATATATGAAAAATATGAAGTGCGAGGTCTATTTTGGATCACACGTAAAAAGTTATGCACTAAATAGCTAGCAATAAACATTTTTATTTTTACAATTTTTTTTATTTGTTATCCACAATATATATATATATATCTTTTTCTAATACCAATAAAATGAATTCAATATTGTTTTATTCTTAATATATGCTTTTAATTTTTTTCGTTTTCTGTAAGACCTGGCTTAGCATTTTTTACATAATCAAACAAATACGTAATAGTTTTTGAGTAAATCGCGAAACAAAATATCAAGGGACTTTAGATCGATTCGGTTACATGCATACACGTACATTATCGACTCTCTTTCATATTCGCATCATTTCTTTTTTTTTTAGTTCAGCAAAACAGAAAATAATAATGAAAAGTTTTTCTCGCACAATACTACATAATTACTCGTTAACACGTAAAGGTTTCCTCGACTTTTCTTCTAGATAAACAAATAAATTCGTAATTGTTATTTCTACAGTATAAACGCTTTACTCTTTTTCTCTTTATTTTTCTTTTTTTCTGAATTCTCAAGTTTCAAATTTAATAATAAATAAAAACAGTCAAAATTTTTTACTTGTACTCTGATGAATTGCTCGAGAAACTCATTGTGTGCCACATAAATGCAGGTGTTTAGATTATGGGAATAGCGATAGTAAAAAATTCAAACAAACAATCCTAAATATATGTCTAAAATCAGAAAATTCTAATGCTAGTAGATCAATTTCAAAGTATAAAAACATTAACCAAAAAAATGGTTTTTAACGCTAAAGATGATGTGATAATCTTTCGGAAAAAATACTGCATACAGTTTCTAAGTCTGAACGAATTACGCCCCAGAAAAAAATGCTAACATATTGTAATAACGATGTCTATGTAATATGCTGTCCATTTACATGTACAAGTTTTCCGTATCACGGAGTTTTTACGCCAGAATCTAACGCTGACCTAATTTTTTGTATCACCCTTTGTTAATAACGCGCGTTCTTAATCGAAATTTTAATCCGGGGAGATCTTTTTTACTTGTTGCATAGAAATTTTCTCACCAGGCAGGCCAAGTACATAATTATTCCGGGTTCCTATAAAACGAGACATACTTTCGTTTTTATTCTATGAACCTTTTTATTAGGTTTCCCATTACATTCTTTAACATACCAATGATGCATTAACATTAGATCGCGCATCAATCTTCAAATATTTTGCTATTAGAACAAGCAAATAATTGCGCACTTTAAACGATGGTTCATCGGTACTTTCGAAACAAATATTAACTACACTTTCCATCTTTTTCGGTTTTATATAATTTTTGCATATACTTATCTGCTAACGCAAAATTTACGTTATTCGTATCGTGCAATGTTTTGAACGACAAAAGATCCAAAAAATGACAATATATCGGTTTCTATTTTCGAACATCAACGAAATATCCATTAGTTTTTGTTAAATTTCTTTGGTATGCAATCGGTCTTTTTTTCCGTAAAATCATTCGCTATATTATTTCTATTCTTTTTCGGATTTGAGAATCATTTTCATTTATTATTTTCTTCGTTAGTCGCTATATCATGAAACCTCTCGTTGAAATATTAAGCGTTGACATCGTCGTAAATTATTCTGAAATTTTTAGATTAGCTCTTTGGTTTTACTTTTTAAATACGTGTGTATTTCTTTCCCATATTTTTACTAAATTATGCGCCGAATCAAATAATTATATTATTTTTTTAAAAAAAAACTCTTCTCTTGAAACAAACGCGTGAAATGGCATTTTCACATAGGATTTTATGCAATTATCTTAGATATGCTCAATAAAAATTACAATTTTGAAAAGCTTGAAATAATGATCTAGACACATGTCGCATACAAAACGTGTCTTAGGAACAAGATGAGAACAAATTTTGGAAATGATAGCTCTCTGTCAAAGCAACGATTCTAATCGAATCGAAACTTGCAAATGATGCATAATTGCAAAACTTCGAATACAAGTGACTCTCGATATAAGAAAGTTAAGCTCAAAATCACTCTATAATAAATTTACTTGATATGAAAGTTACTAATAAA